GTCTGTGATCGTCGTTGTCTGATTCTCCTTTTCATGACTGGTCATGAATTTTATGAATTTCATAGTACATTTTAAATAAGGTAACTTGTAATCTGTAACCTATTATATTTCCAACCTTCCCAACACTGGACACAACATTTCAGAATGCAGCAATTTATAATCAATTCATTCCCAAATCTCACTCTGAAGACTCTTTGCTTAACACACAAACAAGACAAAACAAGTTTCTGAATAAATATGTGGTTTATGTTACAGTAACAGTGGTTTGATCCATGTCTTTTTCAATGGCAGCTGGTTTATAGACAACATTTAGCTTGGAGTCTTTTTTTAACCTGGACAGAAAAAGAGACAGCGAAACATGTTTAGTCTGTTGTACTGTGTGACTGCTTTCTTAAAAGCAGGGAGTATTAAAAGTTTACAAATACTGACTTAAGTCAAAGTGGTGATGAATCAGAGATGGATATGAACGTACTTTGAGTAGTGTTTCTGCTGTCGATAAGTGTACATGGAAAAGACCAGCAACGTGACGGCAAACAGAACCCCAAAGATAATCGCCAGAATGTGTCCTGTGGGGGAAAAAGACTTTTAAAACGCAGTGATGTTCATGTTACTATGACAGACAGAGAGCTTCAGTGCATTAAAGGCGAGAAGTTCATATATCATCATGTCACATGCTAAACGTAAGGATTTACTTCTGAATTTATCCTGACATATTTTAATGTTGTAATTTCTTTCTTGTATATTAGTATAATATCTTGTATATCAGTAACATTACTTTATTGTACTGTTTACTTTACCTCCTCGTGCTAAATGATCAAATCAAACGCTGTTAGCACCATAAAACAGACAGCATCAACACAGGCCAGCGTCCTCTGATATGAGCTGTGTTTCAAGTGATATCCTGCTGTAGATATACAGTACAGTAAATGAAAGATTCCTACCACTAGATTCCATTATTTTGTTGTCTTGTGTTTCAGGTGCTGGAGCTCCTCTGGCTTCTGTAAAACACACACTAATATATGGATTGTACAGTACAGATTGAAATAAACAAGAAATGAAACAAATTATATTTCTGCTGTATTCAGCTCAAATGTTGCTGTCATCCGAGTGTGTCAGTGCCGTTAAAATGATAACTGAATATGAACGTCAAGCAATTTCTATTGTTTTAAATACAAAATATTAAACCTAATGTTTGTTGGGTTCAAAAAAATAAAACGGTTGCTATGAAGCCACTTTATATCAAATGTTGTTAACTACTTACATATATTGTATATACATGTTACATTGTACTGACAATATTTAAAGTACTTATATATAAATTACAAAATAGTTACACTATTGAGCATACCCCAGCTTCTCTACCCTTCACCTCAAAAACCCAATCCACCAAGAGTTATGCAAAACCATGTGCATGTACACAATAATTACAGTGCAGCGTGTGCTTAATTTGATAATGTAACTTTTTGGGGGTTTCTAGTAAAATTATGATATTCAGACATTTTCATAAATACGATTCCAAACACAATCTTGGGGCCACTGTAGATTACAACAAAATCTATAAAATAGCTAAAAGGCCTATTATAGATTGTACATACTTCCTGTAGCGGATTCTGCGTGGAAAGATGCCAGCACTTTTCTCCCATGCAGAAGTTGTGGCGCTCTGAAGTTTTTGGACAAAAGCTTGTTGTGTTCAGTTTTCAATGTGTCCTCCAAGGCCGCAAGCTAATGAAAGAAAAACAAGACTGATTTAGATCAGCGAGTGCTATAAATGACCTGATGCTCTCTTGTAAGAATAGTCTGACCTGTCTTCTTGAGACTCTGATTGAGTCGTTGAACAAAGTCCAGCTGACCGTCTGAAAGCACGGAGGGGTCGTCAGGGACCCGCTGTACCTATAAAACCTGTCCAAGCTGTCTGGCAGTAGATGGCGCACATTAAAACCAGGAATCTCAGTGTCTGACTCTGAAAAGAAGACCATTAGATCAGGTTGGATGATAATCATCTATGCTTTACGTTTATTAGTTTCTTACCTTCTTTGCTGATGTCTGTTAACGCAGACAGGATCTTCTCATAGTTGTCATTGTCATGGAGGCCGATCTGTTGAAATGTATTGCAAAGACTTTATTGGGACTGATCAAACCGCATTCTTTTATTGCAGCCAGAAGGTTTTAGTTAAACTACTTACACCTATGAATCCTCCGAACACTGCCAATCCATCAGCTTTACTAGCAGCCTCAATGAGATCTGCATATTTGGAGTTATAATGAACCACGTGGATCTGAGGAATGAGGAAATTGTTGTAGCGTGTGTTTATGCAATATGTCACACATTATGCAATTCACTCATGTCCCAGAAAGACTGGGCCAATAACATGATCTCTAAATGGTAAAACGTATTCGTAATTTTTCATAAAAGGCTGTATGTCTTTAGAGAGACCATTAAACCGTGTGTTTCTTTATCTCAGCTCACCTCAGCCGGGAAATGGACATGATCTATGGTGTGCTCTGAACCAGGGATCTCTTTAGTTCCCCAGTGGAAGTGAAGCTGGGCTGCGATGTAAACTTGATCGAATCCCCTCATGATACGCATGCTGCTCGGCAGACTCAGCTGCACTGACGCAAGGACAGAAAATACATGCATTTCTGAATGACCTATTCCTTAATTTAAACTAAGGTAAGGTAATGTCCCGTCATTTAAATCAGCAACAAAAACAATCAGTCCATAAACTTTTTTTCATAAAACTTATTTTATCAATTAAAGTATAAAACTGGATTTCTGTATGCATGAATTTGTTTTGACTGAATCATTTACTCAATGAATTTGATCAAATAGACTGATTCATATAGGAATGAGACATATGGCTGCCTCTATGAGTAAGTCATTGAATCATTGACTCAACTGATTCTTTCAAAAATGTAATAAAACTCCGCTATTGCTCCCAGATACAATGATTTATTCTGCTTTGACTTAATTTTAAACAATTATTTTTGGTGAAGCAAAAAGACACAAAATAGCTGGTAATATTGTGTATGAAATTTAGATTACTCAATATTAATGTCTTGTTTGTTGAAAAACAGCAGCATGAAAGAAGGTCACATTTTAGTTTGGGGACCAATTCTAACTATTAACTAACTATTAACTACGACTTTTGCCTCAATAAACTCCCATTTTTCTGCTTATTAATAGTTAGTATGGTTGTGGTTAAATTTAGATATGGGGTGGATTAAGGGATCTAGAATATGGTCATGCAGAATAAG